TATTTGGTCCTCATTTTTTAAAATTCATTTTTCCTTAAATTTATTTTTAGCCGTCTATCTCTCAATAAAATAATTTTACACGTAGGCTCATAACTTTTTCCTACTTTTTAATCGTACATTCTTAAAAAAAAAAACACTATTCCTCAGGAAATCTATTTTCAAAAAAAAATCATGCTACATGTATATTTTTTTTTGACAACAAGTTTGACACTGTGCCACGTGTCTTGACAAAATTGGGCAGCTCAAAAAAACACACGCATTCCCGACCATTTCAATTTGAAACTCGGTGGAGTGTAAACCACAATGTAAATAAGAGAATGTACAAGTGATTTTACCTTTTCAAAAAATCTCTATGAAACAAGTTGAAATTGAACGACATGAATAACTTATAATGACCTCACGTTGAGGTCATACATATGATTTTTGTTAAGTTGGGCACAAAATATAATAACAAGTTCATCAGATTAAGATGTGGGTTTTATGTGATATGAATACATACATATTAATTTTCTGTTTCGATTTGGGTTAATCTAAGACAATGACATCATCATAATAAATAAGTCAAAATAACATGAAAATAAGTGATTAAAAGTGTTCAAATTCAAAGCCAATTATCAATAAACAATTAACTGACAATAAAAAGGTGAATTAAAATACCATTTTTTGTTATAGTTTCAAATTGTTGAAATTTGAATCCTAGCAACTCGTCTGTCCTATAGTTTTTGGAGGACATGAGAAAAGTTTGAAATTCACAATAGCTTGTTTAACTTTGTTGGACTCTTAACACTATGTAATTAAGACCAAATTATAGTATGTTTATTCTTATTTTTTCATCGACGTGAGGTTTTAGTCTTAACAATATTTTTGATGTGATTTCATGAGAATCGATTGAAGCCTTAAGACGGTTTCCATTGAAACAATATATGAAGTGAAGACATGTCTTGAATAAATTTATAGAATTCTTTGAGTCGACAACAATGTTATCATGTGGTTCTTTCAATGGTAGATTAAAAAAATGATAATAAAATGAACACCATTTGATTTCTTTTGTAATTTTTAAAGATAAAAAAAAAATAAATCAGAATTATAATATTTATGACCTTGTCAATTTATTTATGATATTTATAAATGGCCAATAAATAGAGAAATTAGAGTCCTAATATAGATACAGAAATACATACAAATGCATGTAGGTGTCAATGATCGCACTAAACCATATAGAAAACTGAGGCAAACCCTCTGTCTGTTAGCTTTTGGTGGGCTTCAAGTGAAGTTTGAAATGCACACACTTCACTGCCACTCTGTGTTTTTTCATTGTTGGAAGCTTCTCACTATTTGAGATACCCTCTTCATTTGGGGGTTGAATTTTGGGTAGAGTCAGCTCATCATACTGAGGTTTAGGTGGGGTGAGGAGCGGTGGGGTGAGTGGGGTGGGGGTGGAGGCCATATACCCTTATCTTTTGGGGTGTCCAAGAAAAAGGCCCATAAAAAATATTCATATTTTCTTGTCTTGTAATAATGGGGAATATAGGATAGGACATAAGCATATTGACATTCTGCCATGCAGATAAATCGGCGCTGCTTAAGGAGCAAGCTCCCTGTAGACTCATGTACTCTTTAGAATAAATTGATGTGCCGTTTTTGTAGTTTAATTCAAGCTAGTCAGAGAAAATTTGAAATTGTATTAAATAAATAAAATAAAAAAACTCGAGTCTAGTAATATGAAAACTATTATATTTTCATCATGATGATAGAGTGCTCGATGAATGACCTTAATTTTGTGCTCGAACAAGAGGACATGAGAGTTGTTGGCAATACACATGAATCAAAGTATCAAACAGTCACAATGTATGAGAAAAATCGATACAATTTTTTATGAAAACGAAGTTTTGCAAATTTTCCTTAGAAAACAGAAGAATTTTTTGATTTGAAGTATGATAAAAATCATATATGGCCAAATCCCGTGGATACATAGGAATTTTTTCATCAAATGAGGCAAACAATATAGCCAGTCGAGTCTTGATTTTCCATTTGAAAATATAATCTTTAAGATAGGTTATAAAATACTATTTCAGTAGACGAAAATTTCAAATTCCAAGTCTTCGTGTCACCTATTTATGAATATTGCACTTATATACACTTAATTGCAAAATACTTATAGTTTGCAGCATAAGAGCATAAGTAAATGTCTCTTTTTAACTTAATCTTTTAAATCAAGAGTTCCAATACAAAAAATAGATGAAGCCCTCGTTTGGCTCCAATTTTAAAAATTCATTTTTCTTCAAACTTATTTTCAATTACATATTTTATAGGACTCACAACTTTTATCAATTTTTCAATCATACATTTCATCAATTTTTATTAAAATATACTAAAAACCTGATTTTTAACAAAATCAAACAAGGGAGAAATTTACTTATTTTGAAAAAGTATATTGATGTAAAATGCGAATTCTTTTTCATGTCACTCTGACCAGTTCATTGGCACGCCTCAACGAAATGTGTATTAGAATTCGTATCACAAAATTGACAAAGTATTACACTTGACATCTAACCTACCATAACGCTCCTCTTTTATCCGAACATGAAACCTACAAAAATGGCGTAGGACCATGTTTATTCAAATGAACCAATGAACAAGCACAACATGCAAGAAGACAATTTATAGTGACATAAGCTTTTGCATTCTCTTCTCTATATAAAATGCACTTCCAAAACCACAACTGTTTAATTTTAGTACACATCCATGGAGATTAATCAATTCATACACAGAGTTTCTCGCATTTTCCCTTCTTCTTTGACTTCATGCCAGTACAGAACGCTAGCAGATGCAACAGAATCCTCCGTTAACAACCCTAAAACCAGTCAAAATCGCCATGAAAATGAACTTTTTTCTTCCAAAAAGCCCCCAACAAATGAATTCAAGAATCCCAAAAAAACCATATTTTTGGGTTCTGATAGAAATGGAAAATGGTGTCCTCCTGTAACCCCGGTTTCGGGTTTGAATTTGAAAGGTAAGGATAAAGAAAGTTCTAAGAACTTTATAGCCCACAGTTCTTCATCCAACAGTGGGTGGTTTAGCGATGAAAAAACTGAAGCTGATGCAGAAACGAACACGTTGTTTAGCCTTTCATCTACAGTTTCCTGCGAGTCTTTTACTGAATCAAGCCGGAGAATTGATAATGCCGTACTCACTGATCAATACAGCCGAAAAACCACCAAAACTAGCTGTAAAACAGTTCAAAACCCTGTTAAATCCGCTTCAAAGGAGGAGAAAACCAGCAAAAATATCAGAAAAAATGAACCGGCCATGAAGCCTAAAAAGATTGTCCTGGAATTTGGTTTTGAAGTTTCCGATATGTCAACAGAGATTTACTACAGTGATTCCAGGAGAGTTCACCGGAAAACCTCCCGGAAAATGCGAAAGACTAATCCACGTAGAAGATCAACGAATTCTTTTCGACTTGTGGAGGATTGGACTGAAGAGAGTTATGCAATGGAGAAATGTTCAAAGGATCCACACAGTGATTTTAGAGCATCAATGGTGGAAATGATTGTGGAGAAGCAGATATTTGGAAGCAATGATCTTGAGAAGCTGTTGCACTGTTTCTTGTCATTGAATGAAGCTTCTTATCATGGAATTATTTTTGATGTTTTTAATGAGATTTGTGATACATTGTTTTCTAACTGAATTTGGATTAATGTTATGTATAATTAACTGATGTTTTGTATTGTTGTTCAATGTCATATCATGCTTCTCGTTTCTTCTCTCTGCTCTCCCTCCCAAGAATTATTCCCTCGTTTGGTTTAGTTGAAATCAGAATTTTAAGTAGATTTAAAAAAAAAAATTGAAGAAAGATATGATCAAAAAATCGATAAAAGTTGTGGATCTCACAAAATGTATAGTTGAAAATAATTTTGATAAAAAATGAATTTTAGAAACTAGGGGCTCAAACATGGGCTATATTTCATTATTTAGAAAATAGATTAATCTATATTCAATGAAGTCCATGTCCTAGTGTATATTGGTTGTGTAGAACTTAATATACTACGTACTTTTTCTCTTGACCTCGACCTAATTTTAGGGATACTTTGCAAAATTCGTACTAGTAATTTTCAGGGGCGGAGGGAGGGGGTGTCCCAGACCCCCCCCAATTTTTTGACATTTTATTTTTATTTTAAAATTTTATTTTTTGTATTTACCATTTTGTTCTCAAATTAATAAAAAACTTAAACTCTGTCAATCCAAAAACTTAAACTCGGAAGGAACGCTTGTAATAATGTATGA